TGAGGGAGGCCCACGCCTCGGCGCCCTGTGCATACAGGAGCGGCCCCAGCGGCCTGGGGCTGAGCCCCGACCAGCCCACCCACCTGCACCTGACAGGGCCAGGTCCCTTCCCCGGGGCACTGCCGGGGGCACGAGCCTGCCCTTTGCTGTCCAGGGCTCCGCCCTGAAGCCCACTGCTGCTGCTCCCTCTCAGAGGTGGTGGCAGGTCCCCTTCGGACCCCTTCTGGGTCTCCCTCTTGCCCCAGGGGGGAAGCACTGGCCCACCCCCTCCCCAGCCTGGGGAAGCTGCGTCCCCGGACAAGGACGACCAAGTACCTCCAGGGCCCCTATCTACGGTGGAGGCCCTCACTGCCAGACAGTCGGGGGGGGGTCAGGTTTTATCCCCACTGCTTCCCTGGGAGGCCATGAAAAGAATCGCCTATAACCTGGGGGCTGGGACCCGGTAAGAGGAGCCTTGGTAGGTTCTGCCTCCCTCCTCCTCACCCCCTCACTGAGGGCCTGGCCCTGGAGGACTTCCTGGAGGAGGAAGCCATGGAACATGGGACCAGATCAGCCAAGTGAGGAGGCCCGAAGCCCATGAGGACCTGGACAGCAAGGGGGCAGTCCTCCTCCGATGGGGAGGACAGAGAGTGGGACCACTCCCCCAACAGGGGGACAGAGAGTGTGACCACTCCCCCAACAGGGGGACAGAGAGGGAGACTCCTCCCCCAACAGGGTAGATGGGGGGGCCCTTTCCCCAATGGGGGGATAGAGGGTGGGACCCCTCCCCCTATGGGAGGGACAGAGGAAGGCACTCCTCTCCCATGGGGCGACAGAGAGGGGGACCCCTTCCCCAACAGGGGACACAGAGGGACTCTCCCCCCATGGGACTGTGGAGCCCGGGTGGTGGCGGCCCCCAGAGCTCGGTGGAAAGCCTGGCTCTCCCGCCAGCCAGACTCCCAGGCAGATCCCGTCCCAGCGGCGAGACCTTGCCCGCCCGCACTGGGCACCTGTGACACAGACCCCACCCCACAGCACATGCCAGGCTGCTGGCCCAATGCAGAAGAGAAACCGGAAGCTGGACCCTGAGAAAGGCACCAGTGGGCCCGGCCCGGGGGGAGGCTGGGGGAAAGCCCACGCAGCCCGAGGACTCCCCAGGCCTGGGCCCTGGGGCCCCAGCAAGGGCGGGTGGGAGACACAGGGGTCTCTGCACTCCCCCGACACCTGCCCCCAGCCGCGGCCTCCTCAGCTGGGTCTGGCGGACAACAAGGCCGGTGGGGACTGCAGGCCGGCAGCATCGGGGCTCCTACAGAGGAAGGGGCGCAGCCCCCGAGGACACCGGGCCCCTCTGCCACCCGCCCATCGCCAGGGCCCAGGCTGTGGTTTCGCGTCTTCTTGTAAGCTGTGCCCCCGCCCCCCCGAGGGAGCTTCAACTCGACTCTCCTACTTTGAGAGTGGAGGGGTGGGACCCTGCCTCCCCCAGCCTGGGCCCTGGCCCCAAGCTCTCCTGCACCCAGCGAGTGGGGTGTGCCTGCCTCACAGTGGCTGGCCCCGCCAGAAGGAGCGTGCCTTCCCAAGGTGGGGCCGGGCGAGCCAGGGGCCCGGTCTCCAGAAGCCTTGGGAGCAGACGGCTGTCAGCCCACGGGAGTGCAGGGAGGCCAGGGACATGCAGAGGAGGCAGGAGGCCCCAGAGAGCCTGGCCGTCCTCGCCGCCAGCCCCTCCCCAGCTGGCTGCCACCTGGGGCTGGGGAGGAGGCGGCCAGGCTGAGTCGCTGTGGTAACCTGGCTTCCGCCAGTGGCTTTGAAAACATCACTTATTTTGTTTTGAATTGTGGTCCACAGATGGTTAGAGAGATGCTCGGGGGGAGGGGGGGCAGGAGGTGGATGGGGAGCTCCCGCCCCGCCCTCTGTGGTCACAGAGACCTGGTGACAAACCCTGACTCAGCCGCGCAAGCCCTGGCGCCACTGGCAGGCCACTGTCCCTCCCGAGCCTCGGTGGGTGTCCCCATCCGTGAAGCGGCGCACAGAAGAGTCCCGGCCCGGAAAGCGCTCCGGCCTCCTGGGCGGCCGCACCCACCCTGGCTGGGCGGGGCCCTCTCCTGTTCCCCATCCAGGGGCACGCTGTCCCACGGGCACGTGATCGAGGGGGACACGTACCGCACCCACACCTGCCGAGCAGCTGGAATGGAGGCGACACCAGCCTGCCCACTGTCCCCAAGCCACGGAGGGCAGCAGGAGCCACCTGGGTGGGGAGGGGGCAGGAAGGGGTGCCTGGCTGCCTCAGGCGGGGCTCGGGCTCCCCAGACCTCACAGGCACCCACGGGGAGCAGGAGCCAAGCTGAGGCCTCTGGTCTCGGCAGGAGCCTTGGGAGCTAGATGGCACATGTCGACACGTCAGCCCAGGGTCCAGATGAGCAAACCGAGGCAGTGGCAAGGGGCATTCCCCCGAGGCCACCTTTGCAGGAGGGCAAAGACAGCAGCGAGAGCCCAGGCCCCGCCGTGGCAAAGGCTGAGGGAGGCGCTGGGGAGGGCGCCCCTGCTCCACATCCGGCCCCACGAGGCAGGGCTGGAGGCCCCCAGAGTCAGGAACACGGGCGACGCCCCGCTTCCCGGAAGACGCCATCAGAACATGGCGACATGGCCCGGCCTGGGATGTAACCTCTCCGGCCAAGGGCTTTTGCCCAAACGCACAGAACGCTCAAAAGCCATCGGCAAGAAAGCCTGCATCGTGGCGTGGAGAAGACAGGGACAGACCCGTCACCGAGGAGGACGCCCAGGCGGACAAACGTGCACATGAAAAGGCTCCTCCCCTGAGCCGTCCAGGACGCCCGGACACAGAGACGGGGAGATCCCAACACACCCATGCGTCGGGCTAAATAAAAAGCCAACCACACCAAGTGAGGACAAGGGGTGGAAATGGGGGCGACAGGGCCATGCACGGTGGGGCGGTGGGGAAAACAGCTGGGCCACGTGACCTGGCTGCTCTGCTCTCAGATACGAACCCCAGAGACGTGAACAGGGTCCCTGCAGATTTGTGCATAAACGTCCCGGCAACGTCTCTTGCAACTGCCCCAAACCGGAAAGAACCCATGACCACGACCAGTGGACGGGTGAACCACAGTCTGCCCGACAGCGGGACCCTGCAAAGCCATGGAAAGGGCCGACTGGGGCACAGGACCACCGGGTGACCCCCCAGATGATCTCACAGGGTGAAAGGGGAGACAGAGGGCACCTGCCTCCCGACTTCTCTTCTAGAAAAAGCAGGGGAAATGCCAGTTACGCACAGCCGGGTGGCTGCCGGGGACGGGTAGGAGGGCAGGAAGGAGGGATCGCAGGGGCCCCGGGACACTCTGGGGCCGGTGATGGTTTCATGGGGTATGACGACACCAAAGCTTGCCAAGTGGGTTGGTGCCCTCAAAATATCTATCTTTACAAAGTGCCAATCACCTCTCAACAAATCCACCCAAAAGCCCCCCTCCCCCAGGCCCTGGGTGACTGAGCTCGAGGGTCCGGTGTTTCTTCCGGCCCCAAGGGCCCAGCTGCTGTCTGGTACTGACTCCTCCCAGCAGGCGCCAACGCCCGGGCTCCCCAGCCGGGCCGCAGCGGGCATGGGGAATGCCAAAGTCCTGTCCACAGGACCCGGATTGAGGGTCAGAGACAGGGACTTAAATAATCAAGGGACAGGCACGCTGGTGACAAAGAGAGCACGGTGCTGACTGAAAGCACAGAGGCCCAGCGCGCCGAGGCGAACGGCGGCCAAGGCCCTGGCCGCCGGGCACCTCCCACTGGGTGACCTCAGCCTCTCCACGCCGGGTTTACAAACGAGGGAGTCGAGGCACAGGTGCAAGATCCGGAGAGGCTGAAAATGACCAGCTCTCGACAGTGCTGGTGGCAACTGGTGACGACAATGACGTCGCTGCAAACGGGGATCTGGAATGTCTGCCAACACCCCTCCCCCACAGACCACCCACCGAGTCTCCAGACACCCCCTGCTCAAAGCGGTTCCCCCACCTGCCCCCCAGGGGCGGTCCCCTGCCCCCTCCCCTATTCCCCCAAATGCCTTGGCTTCCCAGGACACCCCAGCCTCCCAAGGTGCCCCGGCCTCCCATGACACCTGGCCTCCCAGGGAACTCCAGCTTTCTCAGGACACTCCGGCCTCCCAAGGCACTCAGCCTCCCTGGACACTCCAGCCTCCCAAGGCGCCCTGCCTCCCTAGACATTCTGGCCTCTCCAGACACTCCGGCCTCCCAAGGCACCCCGGCCTCCCGGGGCACTCCAGCCTCCCCAGGACACTCTGGC